CAGGTTGTCCAGAGAAATTGTGGATGCCCCATCATTGAAGTGTTCAAAGTCAGGTTGGATGAGGTCTTGAGCAACCCGATCTAGTGAAAAATGTCCCTACTTATGGCAGGGAGGTTGGATTAGGTGATCTTTAAAGATCCCTTCTGACCCAAACAATTCTGCGGTTCTACGATTATGTGATTAGCTGATTTTTGTTCTTGGAAGAGCTAGGACTGCGGTGAACTATGTTTGCTCTGATGCCTTTTCAATGAGGAAACCTCCAGTTCCCATCTCTTGACTCCCCAGCAAAGCTCGCGAGCCAGGCTGGTCCAAGGCAGAACCAGATGAAAGCCTAAGTGCTATTTACCTGTACTGAGTACAGGCTCATACAGGCTCCAGTTCTGAGTCATGCAGTGACATCCCACTGTTAATTCCTTTTACAAACAAAAAAGCAAACAAGAAAGGAAACGGAAAAGAGAACTGACCTCTCTCATAGCTTTGCTGCTGCATCATTCTGGGCAGGGCCTGCATACCCTCTGTTCCTCCTTACTTGAGTGCTGCATCCCCATCCGGGAGTGGGGCCACATCTGTAGGGATCATGGCAGAGAAGAGCCGTGAAACAGGCCCTCAAGTCTTTGTGTGCTCATAGCCTAGACTTGCGTTAATACAGTTACTGGGGTGAGCAAGCAGGAACAAGAGAAAGTGCTATATTGAATCTCAGGTGCCATATCAAGGGATAAAATGGATTACTGATTACAGGTCTGAAGAAATCCTAACGGTTTCATGTACCAAAAGAAGATGAATTGTGTTGAACCTACAGCTGCCTCCTCTGGGCAATGCAATTTTAAGCCACTTCTGCAATGCAGTGCCACATGTGTTCTTGTTAATTACTGCTAATTGAGGCAGGAAGTGATCTAAAGACATTTGCCTATGGACTCCCTTATTATTGGAGAACAGAGTTTTCAGATGACTTAAATGCTGTGGGAGCATGCATACCATTGACACCCAATAAAACCTGCTGCTTTAAAGTCACTGAGCTGCATCTGAAAATCCTGTTCATGAATCTTTAGGATAAAACTGCAGCAGGGGATGATGGCCCCTGCTGAAAAGACCTGAAAGCCCTACCATGCCCACTGCAACTGTTCAACCGTTCACCTGCAGAGATGCAGAGAGGATCCCATATGTTGCAGACTTGTGGAGAGCACACAGACAACAGGCAGCCTGGTGGCTCTTCCTCACGGCTTGTTACAAGTTGCATTAAGATGACCACAGAGGCAAGGAAGCTAGAAATCTTTGCTAACAAATGTATGCACATGCAAACATAGCAAAAAGAAACAAGCTGTAAGTGGTTGGGCATCTGTCATCGGTGATTAATAGATCCATTCATAGATGAACCCAAACTGAACATGGCCAGGTGCTGTCCTCCTAGGTAGGAAAGATGGGATCTTGATGGAAGGTTCCTGTTTCTCTGGCTTAACTTAACAGGAGCTACTATCATTTATAGTGTTAGCACTATGCTACCTATGCATTAATCCTCATTGGCTTTTATAGGTGAGCCTTGTCAGAGTATGTATTTTTGGCAAGACAATGAACCCACCCTAGTTTCGTATTAAAGATGTCATGCCAATGGCAGTTTCATTTAAATAAACTAATAATATCCCCGAAAAATCCTATATATCAGCAAAAAGATTCCCCACAGCTGCAGCCATCAGCAAAAATAAGACTTGGAGGGTTTGCAGTGCCCATGGGTGAGTGATGAAGAAGTCAATGTGTGTCAGCCTATGCTAAGACACAGCCTGCGTTAGCCTAAGTAGGGCAATGGCAAAGCTTTGGCAGTTCTTTTAGCTGTGGTGCCAATGCCTGTAAGTTTTGGCAGCTCACACTAGACAGTGAAAGAAAGTCAACCTAGAAACGAAATTAAAATCTCTTAAAATTGCCAGCTGTCCCAGTCTTTCTGTTTGGGCAGCTGTACCGACTTCTTGTAGGTAAACTGTACATTTGCCTCCTGCATTTATCAACAGCTCCTGAGCCCCTCAACGAGAACTGTCCAGGAAAAGTGACAGGATATAAGTCCCTAAATACCTTTTTCCAATCTAGGCCTAAATAACTAACACAAGCAATAAATAAAGAACATCTAAATGAGATTTATGTAAGTATCGGGTGTTGAAGCATATGCTCTCTATGATACCTAGGAGACCAGTCTTAGTTAGCTAAGTCTCCAAAACAACAGGATATTACCAATCTCAGCGCCAGCTTATTTACTTGTAATGCAACTGAGTGGCTGAGAGAGGCAGGGTAACACCGTTCCCACAGGGAATCATTTCCACACCAGTATTTCTGCTCGGACACCAGATAAGGCAGCCTGTCCAAGCTATGGACTGTGAGGCGAGATCCAGTGCCTGTCCCTCCTCCCCAGCGCAGGGGAAGTAGACGCATGCCAATATGCTTGGAGAGGACGCTTCTTGTTACTTCTACAGTTAAATTTATGTGAAAATAGTGCATTTGTCTTAGGATTAACATGCAGTGCTTAATCTACATACCATCTTTTAGACAGTAAGGTTACTAAGCTCAGACCTGCTTTAGGTAATTGAGGAAATATTGTTATAGGGATTGTTTTCAGCTGAACCCTGCAAGTTTTCTCTGTTGTGGGTTTTTTACTTGTCAGTTGCTGAAGTCAAGCAAACAGACCAAACCCCATGTATTTCCATAAGCAGTGGGATTAACAAGCCTGGTTTCCAATGGACGCCAGTCCTGCAGTCCAAGCATCCCAGCATGATAAATATCCCTCACGGAGCCATCAGCTCTTGCCCCCCGTGACTACTCACCATACAGTATTTCCCTATCTGCCTGGCTGTGCAAGAGGTGAGACAGACCATAGTTAACGTGCATTGGTTGAGCAACCACAGATTCTTAGAGTGGAAGACAATGCTTAATGCCTAAGAGCTACCACTAATTTAGATTGCTCTCTTATTCTAACTGATTAGGATTGCTGATTTTTATGAGACTGAACGGAACTTTCAATCTTTAAGATTACTATCCGTCTGACAAATATAGCTGAAATCAGTCAAGTGGGTTTTGAAATTATTGGGGAGAGGGAGGAGAGGTTGTATAAATGATAGTGAAAGTCTTATTTCTGTGAAGAGTTTAATGGCAAGCTTAGCAGGTTGGTACAGTATCTGTCAGGGACTGTAACCAAGTTCTTTCGGTGAATACTCATAGCTGTTATATAGAGAACTGAGAATTGACAGAGGAGGTATGGGCAGATGGCATTTCTGTCACTATTCCTGTTCATCAAATTCAGTTAAAATATTAACTGGGAGCAAAACCAAAACTGTGGAAGCTAGAGCAAAGACCCTACGTATCTCTATAAAGTCACGAAGTTCTTAAATCTTTAGAGGAAGTAAAAACTTAAAAAACTCATCCTTATGGGCTCCAAAGAAGAGAAAGGAGACTACTGACCTTGCTCCAGTTTTGTTTACATCTTAAGTAATTTGTAGTTAGCATTTAGAGGTTAGCAAGCTGGTTTTGGAAAAAAAAGTCTCCTCTCTTTGCAGGGACCTTGCCATCTCCTAATGCCTGCAGCCTATCAGAGATGTATACAGCAGGACGGATTTTTCTACTGGCTGTCCTCATTTGGAAGATTGCCAAAGACTACCGTTTCTGTACTCTTACGTGCTTTAACTTGCTCTGTGCTAACTGTTTGAAGAGAAGTGAGGTCATGAATCAAGCACAAAGTATAAATTGTCCTTTCTATCAGAGGGATTGTATTTCCAATTACTCATACGTTTCATTGTCTTGTGGATATTTTGAACAGCCATATAGACAACAAGGCAGTCTTTAGCATGGCTTTTGGCAGTTTACCATGGGGTCAGCACAACATCAAGATCCACTTTACTGAAGTAAACAAAGGTATCTCTGGTGTAGACACCCACTTTTGAGGTATCCTCCTTCAACAGTCAAAAGAGTTCATCAGTATTATCACTGCATTGTTGGTATGATTATTTTCATCTGAAAATGAGGTCTAAAGACATGAAGTCCCCATCTAAAATGCCTGAAATGATCACTCACACCCTAAAAGTGACTTGTCTCTCTAATGGCTAGAAATAGAGCATAGATGACTATCCCAGATGGAGACATCCCTTGCTGCCTGTTGGCAGCGAAGAGTTTAAAGGACACTAGCCAGCTGCACTCAATTAAATGTAATGTCAGGTATTTGACTGAGCTGCCACCAGTCCTCCTTTTATTCGTCACTCAATTATAGTAGCGGTTATTTGTGCTTTCCAAGTGCCCAGCCAGAATACGTGCGCAGTGGCTGGACCTTCACTGTGTGTGCCTCGATGGGTACACAGCTAGCGTGCTATAAGCCATTGATGGGTTTATCTAACAGCCTTTTTCATTGGAAAGGTAGAAAGTACCTTTGGCGCATACGGCTGTTGAGCAGGCCACACACACTGGGACAGTTGAACAGTAGGCATGAGAACCTGTCTGAGACACAAGTCACTTGTATTTAGATAACCCATTAGTCATCAAATTCTCGTAACTTACATATTCTTAGAGGTATTTAAAGTAAGTGGGGTTACACTTCGCAGTTCCTCAAGTCCTGGATGTGGGCAGCAGCCTGCCTTGTGAAATGCTTCAGTATTTTTTTAGCTCTGGCCCTATGCTCCCTTAATAAATACTTCAGATTAATGAGGCTTATTGTCCCCTAGTTACATGTCATCGCATATATGACTTCAATTGCTGTATTGTACACTCCCAGTCACTCCACCCTTTGGTGGTGTGACTCTTGCCTTGCTTTGTGTACCTGCATGTTAGGAGAAACTGGGAAAGGCAGTTTAATTGAGGAAGAAAGTTCACCACTGGGGAGGGCGTTCAGAAGTCCTCTCTGCTGCTAGGCAGAGAGCAGCGAGCGATGTCAAAGCCTACTGGTGATCTGGCTTGTCATTCTGGCTGGGAGGGGAGTGGCAGACCAGAGGAGCAGCACTTTAAGAGCGACTGAGGAAGTGAACCTGTGATGCTACCGTGAAGCAGCCCTTCAGCTAGAAGGATATACTCACCCAACCACCTAGAGATTACAAGGAAGAGTACCCTGAGGTGAAACAAAGGAGAGATGAGGAGGACGGCAACGAAAAGCCTTTGGTTGTTCATTTTTGGTGCAAGTGAGTACTAATTTGGTTATGTCCTCAAGGGTTGGGTAGAAGGGAATGGCACTACAAAGTTCAAGTATTCCAATGGGCTTTGTGTGTTTCTTTTTTGTTTAGTAAATGTTCCTTCATGTTTACGATCAGGCAGGTATGTTTACCATCACTGTGCTGAATGTCTAGACTCACAGGCATCTCCTAAAGCCACAAGACAGTGTTAGGAACAGGAAAAGAATGCTATTCTTCATGAGGCTGTAAAATGTTTTTTTAAAAACAGTTTTAATGGCGTCCATTAAATACAATGTTTATCTCTGAAGATGGAACTTCCTCATCTGGAAGTGGAAAAGTCCTTGGGTTTTGTATGTAAATCTGCATGTAGTGTACGTTTCCATAAGTCTAAATCCTACTGTTCATACAAACTCAAATACAACTTGTGATCTCAATACATCATTCATGTCAGGGCGATGCACAACGATCCCTACTAACGTATCTAAATCAGCCAGCTTGCCCTTGGCCTTCATCACAGACCTGCCCTTTCTCATCCTTCCTTGCAGACCTTGTACTCTCAGTTCCACTGCTTTTTGACGTCTCTCGGTTCCTCATACCAATACTCCTACAGCTTCTTCCAGGTTTTAGATAAAGCTATGCACGTGGAAATTGGTTGGGTTTTTTAATCAAAAATCCTGAAAACCTCACTTCAACAATAAGACCCACAAGAAAGAAATCCACAGTTTAACATAATTAGAAAAAGTGGATGTGCTCCATATGCAACAAATGTGACTCAGGTTATAATTTCATGATCATTATGTAAATTGTGTAACACCACTGGTATTCTTTCTCCTTTTGCATTATTCTTACCATTTGTGCTATCTGAATTATAGGTGGGAAACTTTTCAGAGTAGAAATGTATATGGTGGGTGAAGCTCTTCTCACCTGTTCAGGTAGGACTCAAATGGTAATAATTTGAGTTTTAAAATACTGGCCTCTGAAAAATTTTTGGAGAAGTTATAGTAGATTCCTGCATTGCACTGGAGTGGAGAAACTGCCCAGCACATGGCAGTGCAGTGCTGGGATTCCAGAGCCAATTCCTGAATGAGCTGCACCAGGTTCTTGGTACAGGCTGACTTCTGCTGTACAGCTTTTCACTGCAGTTGTGTGAGTAACTGGTACTGTGAACTTCTTGCTGGAGAAAAAGCCCCAAATGGTCATTCTGAATCAAACAAAATATTTACTTTTGCTGCAAATTTTACATTTAAGAGGTTTTTCCTTTCCTACTTTGGTATTAAATTTCAGCTAAATTCTGAGATAAAGAATTGAGAAATCAAAAGTCAGAGCATTTCCTTGTAAAAGTGAAGTAAAACATTTCCGCTTTTCCTACTTTTCTCACTAGCCAAATCTACCAAGACAAATCAGCAATAACAATTTTGCTTGATCTGAATCTCAATTTTTTCAGCAAGCAAAATATTCTTCTAATTGTTTCCAGCTCTATTAACTGCCTTTCATTCTGTTTTGATTAACACTTACTCAGTAAGGAATGTGAAAGTAGACATGTCACTTTGATTTTCCTCTTCCTTTGTACAAGTACAAATGTTTAAGTTGAGCAGATGGAGACAAAGCCTTTCTCAATTTCTCAAAATGTTATAAACATACTAATTGATAACACACAAAAAAGTAATTCGAAGGCTTAAATCTAGGTGACACATCCTTCTAGTACTATATAGGCTATTCATCCTCTCTTCTGAACTTTCAGAATTGTCCATCCCCTCCTTTCAGCCGTACTTTGAATAGATTCTGTTTTCTCTCTCAAAAAAACCCCACAATCCAACCCCTGAAGAATAACCCCCAATTTCCAGACACGCTGACTGTGACTAGCTGGCTCTTGGTGACTTGATGAAGAGTGAAATGTCGTGAGAAGGGGGAAGGAGGAAATGGGCACGAGTAAACAGCATCCCAGAATGAACTGTGCAGCTTCCCTGAAAACCAGAAGGAGCCCTAACAAGGGAGAAGTAGGAGCCAGAAAGAGATGTTGTGGCTGGAAACCAGAAAAGCATCAGAAGAATCTGGGCATTAGGGAGACAGCAACAGATAAATAAGCAAATCTAGCTTGTTACGTACGGGCTGTTTCTCTTATACATGGTGTTTGGTTCCCCGACTCTGCGACAAAAGGATGAGGAAATGGGTTTTTCTCCATCTCCTAGTACAGATGGTGACGCAGAAAAGTGTCCCTATCCAGTCACGACAGGCAATGAGAAAGCTTTCATTGATGTATCCCAATATAGAGGGCATTACGGAAAACAGTCAGAAAACAGTCAGCCTTGGGGCTACACAAACATGGCCCTTGCACTGAGTGCTCCAGAGCAGGGAAAACCTGGGAGTGGCTGCAATAAAATCATGCTAGAAATACTTTGCCCTGATGGTGTCTTTCTCATAGCTGTCAGCAGCTGTAAATGAATTAACCCCCAAGAGAACAGAAACCACTACCGCCATGTCACAGGGGAAGGGACTAAAATGCACACTTGATTAATTTACTGTGCCAGACCGCAGAACAACTCAGTTATGGGACATGGAATGCAGAACGACCAGAACTTCAGCTAGAAGCCTCCTGCGCTGGTGACTCAGTCACCTTTTCTTACCAGGATGCTAACAAGCGCAGAAGGCTGTCTTTGCGCTCCTGTTGAAAACATCTGAGGCTGATTCTGAAGACAGCTGTGGAAGGGCAGCAAGGAAGGAGGGGTGCAGAGCAGGGAAAGGTTGGGCAGCTGTGAAAATTCCCATCAAACTCCTTTCAGGAGAGGGAAGATGCAGCAGTTCTGGAAATACAGGCCATTTCTAAGGACAGACTGGCTCCAGGAAGGTGCAACACAAGCTTTTACCTCTCCCAGGGGGGAGCAGGTCTCCATGCCAACTGTCCCACCTTACCCCGTGCAGACACCTGAATTGCTACCAGCAGGTTCCTAGCTCAGTGAAACCAAAACCTTTTGGATCCCTATGCTGTTATTTTCTAGGGGACACTATTGTTCACTGCTGCTACAGTCAAGGATCTGGTAGTACTCAACTTGCCAATGGTTAACTCTTAGTGACCTGATGTATGTGTCTATCTTTCTTTCCCTATCTAAAAAAGGCAGGTATTCACAATCACTTGCAACTCAAAGTGGAATCTAGACGCCCTTTGCTCTCTCCCTTATGCATTACACTTCCTTATAGATCTAATCTGGACAGACATAAGGCAGAATGAGGACCCAAAGCTTGCTAGACAGCAATTTTCAGTCAAATCCTCCTCAGGGAACACTCACTGAGCCTGGTTCTTCCAAAAGCAAACCTTCACCACCACATACAGCGTGCCTATCCTGGGGAGAGTGTAGATCTCTGCTCTCCTCCACTTTCCTCCTTACAGGACCATGTTCCTCTTTGCCATAGGAGTGCCTCTGAGCAGCGCTCCCTTTCCCGCCTCCCTGCACTCTCTCTAATCAGTTTCAGGCTTTGATTTTTTCAGTTATTCAGTTTGGTGTCATAAAAAACTAAAAAAAAAAAAACACCAACCAAAAAAATCCCCACAAACTAGAGGGAAAAAAGCAGGTGTTTGTAAACATAGGTTCCCTCAGGCACGAAGGTCATCTATGGCAGGGCAGAGGTAAACCTCCAGTCCAGCTCTGAGAATAACTGAAACTGCCACTAGCTAATGCTCAGGTATTATGAATTAAGCATCAAGTCAAATAGAATACAATGTACATAAAACACCTACCTGCGCTCTGCATGCTTCACCAGGGCACAGAGGGATTTTGGCATTCTTAAACTCTCAGCTATTCCTGTGCTCCACTGGCAGGAGCTACAGTCCTTGGAGAAAGGTGACTACTACCCTACTCGTTTTTAAAAACTAGTAGCTATTCTTCTCATTTCTTTCAAGCTCTCTTTGCTCTTCTAGGTTTTTCTCTTTTCAGGGCATTACATGAACAGGTTTTGATTCCCTAGCATAAAATGTCACTTCTGTATGGATTTGGATTGAGGCAAGTTATTTGACAGTTTTCCTCATCCCTGAAATTTGACAATATCAATTTGTTAGTTTAGCCTGAATCCTTAAGACTGCTGATGCACTTGTATTATCTGTTTATCTGTCTCCCTCTGTACATTTAGAACTGTCAAAGGATGTCAGTCATACTGAAAGAGGGCTCAGAAGAAAAAATAAAACATCTTTATAAACCCCATGGCAATGTACGTCCAGGTAAAGAAGAGGAAAGTGAGAAAAGCTCTTAGCCATCCTGTGCAGCAGCTTCCTGTAGTCAATCAGCCCCAGTATACGTCACCTCTGGCTCAGTGGGGAATGTCAGAGATGACAGAGGGGATGTAGGGTTGTTGTGGCATGTAAGAAAGCCAAAGAGACAAAACATGGAATCCAGATGTCATTAACTTTGCTGACTGCAGAATTTATTCTCTTCCTAGTTCTGGTGACTGCTCATGCCCTCACTGTGGAGGTACCTGCCAAGGAAATACAGGTGGCACGAGGGAGCAACGTTACTCTCCGCTGTAATTTTAAAACACAGGCTTCTATTCACGACGGAGACCTTGTTGTCTGGAGGAGATTAAATAGTGCGGTAAATCAAGTTGCATAAAGAAACATACAATAGGGCATCCAAGGAGGGGGTGGGAAGATAGAAGGAAGCAAGACCGTGGGTAGGAATGTGTGTTGGAAGAAAGAGATTCCTTTAAGACTTTCTTTAATCTCAGAACTATGCAAACAGAAACTCTGATTCTAGATGCAATTTATCCCAAATCTGCTTGCATGATACTAGGCCAGACCCAAACCTTTTATTTCCTCTCTCTTGGTCTTGCAACTGTCTACTAAGGATAAATCACCGTATGTACTGTGGGTTTACATTATTAAAATACATGAAATACTCAGATACTTTATAAAAATGTATCTTTCTAAGTGTATGTATTATAAATATGTATTTATATATGCACGTATCTTTGATGCTATATAAGAAGCATTAAGTTGATGATAATAGTTCACAGAGAGATTCTTGATGTCTCCTACTTTCATATGGAGTATTTGAAGACCTCCAAAGTTCTCCTTGACTTCTTGGGAATTAGTGTGAGGGGCAGCAGCCTTTGGAGATCTCCTTGCAGTAACTGCCACATGTTTCTTCTCTGAAGATCCTTGCTGGAAGTAAGCAAGCGAGTTTCTGTAATTGTAGGGGAATTTGATTGACATATGGATCTCATACAAATCTCATGGTGTCCTGTCACGGAGAGGAAAGGTGAATAAGCCCCAGCAAAAAAAAAAGAACAGTTGTCTCTGACTTCAGATAAGGTGGGGAGAAGGGGATTCCAGACAGAAACCCAGACCTTTTGAATGTCTGTGTTTTTCTTGGCTTTTTGGTAAACTGGGGAAATTTAAGGCACTCTTTTCCAAGCTGCTCTTAAGAGTAGGCTAATCCATTGAGTTAGGTTGTAGGCTCACAAAGAAGAAACTAGGATTGATCACTTTCCCTCCCTCTCTATCAGGATGATGCTGTCACTAGGTATTTTGATGGACTTACACAGTATGGCAATGGCTATGAAAACCGTATCCAGTTTAGTGGTGATGTAACCAAAGGGGACATCAGTATCACCATCAATGCAGTGACCATGGAAGACAATGGGACATATGCATGCAGCGTTCGTCTACGGAATGACCCCCCCAGACAGTCTGCAACCTTGGCTCTTTTCGTCCTCGGTAAGCACGGTGAAGGCAACACCAAATCCATTAGATAAAATACTGTCCTGCCTCCCATATCCACATTGTTTTAGTCAACAGATTTTCTAACTGAAAAAAACTTTCCCAGGAAGTCATCATCTACAATTCCACCTTTGATCTTTTTCTACTACTATGGAAGCAGGTTGGAAGGCTTAAAGCACCCAACTCCCTTAGATATCTGACTGCAGAAAATTGTCTTTAGAGTTGTATAGTTCACTTTCCTAATAACCCTTGCATCGTTGCAGGGTGATTTTCATTCCCCCTGTGGCTTGTCACACTCCAGTCATCAAAGGATGAGCCACCCAACACTATTAGACATATCCTAAAAAGCATCTCACAATTCCTTCTTGGCTGACCAGTGCCAAGAAGGGAGAAACAAATTGTAGATGAGTTCACTCCAGTTCCTGAGAGAAGATGGTAGGTGCAAGGCTAGCCTCAGTTTAGAAGGAATAAAAACCACAGGTGCAGAAGATGGGCTGAAACAAACAAATAAATACTTCTGTTTAATGAAATGCCTTCCTTTTTTCTCCCTTCAGTTGCACCATCCAAGCCAGAATGCCAGATTTTGGGGACACCAGAATATGGACACACAATCAATCTGACCTGCATTTCTCACGAGGGCTCCCCAAAGCCCAAATATAGCTGGCAAAGCTTCAATGTACAAAACGAGCCCCGTGTACTACAAACAACAGAAGGTATGACAAATTCAAAGACATCAAGTCTTTGAGCTCTCTATAGATCAGCGTTGGAAAGATCTTGAAATACAAAAACACATTTAAGGCTTTTTCTAGGAAGTTCTCTGTCCAGGATTTTGAAAAGTTGTCCTTTTCATACAAGACGCATTCACAGCAGGGGGAAAAGGACTGTTACCTAAGTAACAATGGTCAGTCAGATTTTCACTTCAGCTCTCACCTGCCAAGAAAGCTGGCTCACTCTCGAAGCAGCCAGAAATAATTACTTCTCAATTGCTGGGCTTAAAGGGCGGGGGGGGGCATAACACAAGGAGTAACATCAAGATTTCTAATTGTTGTGTCTTTATATCCCAGCTTGCTTGACAATGACCAGGAGTAAAGGCAAACAAAAGTAGGCTCTGGAAGCTACTCTCCTTCCGGAGATGACTCCTCACCTAGAGGAAGGTGGTATGAGAAAAGGTTACACCATTCCTGCTTTGAGCATAAGAGAGGCTTCTCGTTCTTTAGGACCGTGACATAAACCCCAATATTTTATTTGCTTTCATTTAAAGTCAGAATCTGGAAAAAAAGGAACTGAATTTCCATGACAGGACCTTTGGTAGAACAATTCACGCAGAAATAAGGGTTTAATACTCTTTGAAGTGCAGTAGTGACAGGGGATTCATTATTCCTTTCAACAACTTTGTTTCCTCCTGGTATGTTTAGCTCCAGATAGACTTGAGTATCTGAACCTACCCTTCCTGATTTAACTTATTGTAGCATCGCTATGGATGTTAACTAAACATGATCACACTCGACAGGATATTCAACACTCACGAGCCGATTCTTGCATAAATTATGCAAAGATGAAAATATCACCAGGGACACAAACCTTATTCATTTGACTGGCCACTAAGCAGTGCCAACGCATCACGCACAGCACTGAACACACCGGCATGTACTGTCACTACAGGCAACTTCTTTCTGTGCTAAGCAAGTCCCAGTGCTGCAGAGTGTGCAGGGTCCCCTCAGGAGCCACTTCAAAAATGATAGCATCTGACTGGCATTTTTCCCAATTTGTCTCGCCAGTCAATTACTTTTGATTTAACATGGAAGTATTTGCAGTTTGGTTATAGACTGAGAGCTATAAACATCACACCAAAAAAAAACCCCAGACCACCAGAAGTAAGCACGGACAGTATCTAGAGACAAAAAAACCAAACCAAACCAAAAATCCAAGCAAGCATGCAGTCTGTTATTTACTGGTTTGCATGTTCTTTCACTTTCTGGCACTAGGTGCCAGCAGACACTAAGCAGAATTTCATTCCCAGGAATAGGCTGGAAAGAGTGAGATCACAGGGAAAATAAAACAGGAAAGTCACTGAGAAGTATTCAAAGCCTTTTGTATTTAGAGCAGGAATCTAGACCTTTATCAGCAGATCACAAGCAAAAATCACGGACCACACATCATGTGGAGGTGTAACAAATAAAAACTGACTGCTTGAGCAGACGGAGCTAAGCTTCAACACATGGTTCTGAGCTCTGTGAGGCTGGACAGAAAACTACCGGAATCATAGCAATCCCATGTTACTGTATTTCTTTTCCTTCATTTATTTTCACAACCTGTGTAGCCTCTCCCAGACTAGAAAACTATTTCCCCCACTGCTAAATAATTCAGATCTGAAATCCCAAGAGCTGGAGGGCTGCAGACCTTTTTGTTGTTTCACAAGTTAAGTCATCAGATGGCCAGTCCTCAAAGTCAGATGCCAGTTTGGGCCATCTTCTATTTCTCAGCAAAATCTAATGCAAAAAAGCTTTCACTAAGCACACATACTTCTTTACCCTCCACCTACAATTTTCTTTCTAAAAGGAATGTTCCCTGTAATCAAGACAGCACACTTCCGTTTATCCTCCCACGAATCACACTAAAACCTAAGGTCTAGCATGGCAGCTCCTGGGCAAGACAGAGCAATCCATCAGCTTTAATAACCCCTCATCACTCCCACTACCCGGGGCTGGAATTGGAAGAGCTGCTGTCCCCACTTCCTTCCCTGCTAGAGTTCTTTTCTTTTTTTGACTGGATTTGTGTTTCACTCCAGGGGAACAAATAACTCTGAAGAACATCTCGGCAGACACCTCTGGCTTTTACATCTGCACTTCGACGAACATTGTGGGAAAGGAATCATGCAACATGACAGTCAGCGTCGTGCCACGTAAGAGAGGAGGTTGCTTATGGGAGTAGTACCAGAGGAAGTAGCCTAGCTAGGTGTCAGAGGATTAATGGAGACAATGCAGACAGAAGCATAAAATTCCTTCTCTCAAAAAAAAAAAAAAATCACACTTTTTTTTAACCTTTAACACAGATTCTCTGCATTGATTTACATACTAATAGACCACTCACTAACTCATAGGGTTAGTTCACAGATGACAAAAGAATGCATAGAGTGAGATAGGCCTGAGCCCCCAAAGTCTGAAACTAAATGTACCAACAAAATACAGCAGTTGTTCATATCCAGGGGCTCCTCCCTGTCATTGTCTAACTAATTGCTCCTGGAGACTTAATCAGCTACCCAGTACAGAATTAATTCCAGTTGCTGTAGTCAAATAAATGTGGTTTCCACTCAGTCTGGACCCAACATCCAGAGTAGGTAGTGAGATCTGACATCTGGTGGTGGGATTTGAAGTCCAGTGATTGTGTTGATTGCATTTGGTATCATTCTCACCGCAAAGGGCTAATTCTCTTCTTCCTGTTATAGCATCCATGAACATAGCTCTTTACGCTGGCATCATTGGTGGAGCTGTTGCTGCAATTATAGTTATTGGTATTATAGCCTATTGCTGCTGCTGTCGGGCAGACAAGGAGCCAGACTACGAGATGACGTAAGTACCTTTCTCTAGAAAAGCGAATGGAACCTAGGAAGGGTTCACCTTCTCTCTCCAGCATCAATATATGGATGGAAAGCAGAGAAAAAAAGAAAGCAAGGAAAGTGTGCACTGCTTTATCCTTTCAGTTTCTACCCTAGTGGCTCCCATCTCTTTTCATGGAATATGCCCAGCATTAGCAGACACCTTTGTAGTTTCTGGGGTAGAACCCAAACATTCGAATCTTGGAAATGCATTAGCAAGCCCAAGTCAGTCAAGCACATGCAGCTACTTGGTTAAGCAAAGCCCAGACTGTTTCTCATTTCTCTGAGACCCTAGAGATGTTTCTGTCCTTGCTAGCCTAAATCACCATTAGGCTCTGTATTCAGAATTACCACTCCAAGACAGAAACCTTTTGTTTATTCTCACAATGGAAACAGACCATTGGAAGAAAAGTGGAATGAGTAAAGATACACCAGTCACCCTTTCTCTACATACACGTTATGGAAAAAACAAGTAGCTCACGCACCTCTTGCATCACCAGCAAGATTTAATTTATGGAGTTCAGCTTGGTACACCTCCAGGTCAGCTTAGAGCAGTCTAAAGCCATTTTAACACAAAATCTCTTTGCAAAATTTCAAACTGGTTTTAATTAACAACTCTACTCCTGAACAATGTTTTAGGGAAAAAGAAGATAGAAGGGAACGCTCCGATGAGAAGCCTACAAGGAACCAGACAGCAGAGAACGAATTTGAAGACGAATGAAGAAATAAGCAGGAGGCCAATGCCATCTTGAGGATTTGCTGAGGCACAGACACCACTGTAAAAAAAGAAGTCAATCCCTCTTTCTTATTGCAAAAAGGTTTTTTTGGAATAATAAAATGAAAGCGAATGGCTCTGCCTTCAAGATCTTGGAGAGAATATCCTTGCCTCCCTGGAAAGAAGTGCTTAATGTACGATTGGTACTAATACATAACTTCATAGCAGAAAGATGCATGTGAAACAGAAAAACTGTTTCACCCAATCATCCAGAAATAACCAGTCTTCTAGACTTCCCACTTTCTGAAAAAAGAAGCAAGTCAGGTCTATTCGGAGAACAGAGTTGCTGCTGTATCCCCAGATCCACAGAAGATTTCAAGCTCACCAACTGCAAGTCATCAGGGAAGAGTGGTCTTGTTCCCAGTGTTATGCAAGTGTCACAGCTTACAGCATTGTCCAGTATAGAAAACATTTTATACAGAGCAAAGCAAGCTGATTTTTAAGAATGTTAAATGTGTTCTTTGTATATATTATACATGCATATATATAAATAAAAATACGTAGAAAAAAATTCACAGATGACCAATAAAGTATCTTGTTTGGAACAACCATGCATACTAATGGTATAAGATAAAGCAAGAAGTTAGATGCATTTGTAATTGGCAGCTGACAAGATCTAGATACAGTCTAGTAGCCTACATGCTGTCAGATGACTTCCAGCTCAGAGAGCTCCTAAATACTAACTTTTATTACATTATCTTTTCCTCCTGGCTGTTGTATGGGCAAGTCAGAAATTGCTCCTCCTGTTGCCTCTGAAAAAAATGACAGTGAGAGACCATATACATGGCAAGTGCATCTTTAATGAAAAGAAGGAATAAAGAAAAAGAAAAAAAGGGGGAAAAGGAGGAAAAGTACCTTTTTATTCAAAATTGTAACAATTTAATCGGAAGCACTGTGTGTGCAAGTGTGGAGAGAACTCCCATCACTTGTATCTTATCTTTGGAAAAGAATGGACTGTCTGTCCAAAAACTGACAATATGGTATTAAAGCTAATTAAGAGCTGGTTTGTTTGTGGTTTTGAGGTTGGTGTGGGGGTTTTTTTGTTTTGTCTTGTTGTTGTTGTTTTTTAAGCCATGCAGTAAATGACTTGAACTACAGTATTTATGCTTTCAAAGCCCTCTATTGCATCTTCAGCTTCAGGAGTTCCAGAAACCTACCTCAATGCTTCCCACATACCCTTTATGCCCAAGTAGTTACTTATAAATCTGTAACAAAAATCTAAAATATAACTTTGAAGACGAACCAGCAATCTTCCTACATATGGGCAGCATTTTCTAGACTTTGAACTATGCAAATCATACTACCAGAATTGTTATTCTGGCTTGCTTTCTGGCTGCCTTTGTTTTACACAGTACTTCAAATATGGTTATTCATTTGTAATAATAACAATTGCAAAGACCAACAACCAGAGTTCTTTTACAAAGTACATACAAACCCAAATCTCTCTGGCAATGAACAACCTGAAATGCAACACAGCAAGACATTCAGAGGACCTATTCCTGTGCTTAGTTTAGATGCATGACAAAACAGTGCAAAAACGGCTAACTAAAAAAGAATTTTGCACACAGAAGCTGAAGGCAGATAAAAAAAATGAGGTGCATAGCTCAGAAACAGAGCTGACAGGCATTTTATTCTCTTTTGTAACAAGCAAGTATAGTATGAATTATCTAAATAGCACTGTAACAAGTTTTTATTGTGAAATAAAAGCTATTTCTTATATAAATGTTACAGATGTTAGTCAGCGCGCCCTCATTCCTTCACAAACACCTATACCCTAAGGCTGAAGAGGCCTTCTACTGAGGGATAATAGTGTGGATTCTCATCAACAATCTTAACTGGAAAGACCAGCAAAAGAGATCAGAAAGCATTTACAGCCAGAAACCAACTCTGGCCTCTACGCCATTTTAACACTGCATTAGCTATCCCATATTCTTCACTCTTAGGATACATAAAGCTTAATTGCTGCTTGTCAGCTGAAGTTTGAAGTACCAGGTACACATTAGTCATTTTAACTGTAAAGAAAAATGCAGATTAGCAAATCTGCATAAAGTACTGTGAAGAAACCAGCCACAAAAACCAGAAGAGATTACACAATTATGACCCCCAAAACTACGAATCCAATTCTCTGTAAGCAGCTTCCAGAAGAAGTAGCAGGGGAAAAGCGAGAGTTAAATTTGACAACCATTACAGCAGAACAATTTACATGCTGCAATGCTAATCTCAGTTATACACTGGGAAATAAACTCAGTGATAGTATATAAAGAGATGCCTGAGATATTTCAGTCCTGCTTATAATTTTTTTTCCTTTTTTTAAAATAAGACTAACTTTTAGAAGCTGTGTATTTATCGGAATGCTACCTGTGTTTTTCCTCAACCAATTTGTTAAACCCAGTCAGCCAGGAATACAGATATTCAAATTCCTATCTTAGTCCAAGGTTTTTCTGTGTCTGAATTAATTTCTTGAGTGTCTTGTATGTCTTTTGAAGCAGGAATAACTCCAAGAGCCTGTAGTATACCCACAACTTTAAACAAAATTAAGGGAGCACTAATGTATTTGGAGGGATGATGGAGAAAGCTGGAAATAATTAATTGATTCCTGAGAATTAATGTATGTATACTCAACTTCAATACTCACTTCCCTCAGAAGGCAGGAAGTAGGCAGAAAAACAAATTCCTACTTTACACAGCCCCTATTAAATTACTCTTTAGTTACGTTCAACTTTCTCATGGAAGAATACGCACATATAATATGCACATGTACATCTGTGCATGAACAGGAAGAACCAGAACACAAGGATTTAAGGCCTCACTAAACCATTCTCCCATGTGCAGGACTGCTGAGATCTGTTACCCGAAGTGGAACAACCACCACAGTAAGATTTTGATACATCATTACTTAGACAAGATTTATTTTGGCAAGCATACCAAGAGTATATTCTAAAAATTACCTGGTTTTCCTTCTGACCCTACCTCAGCAACCTGCAACAGGCCATTTACTCTATAATGAAGCATACGAAGGAAACAAAAAAGTCCACTTCATCAGTCTAGCAATCCAATGAAAAGTAGGCAGGACAGAAATCTTGCACGCAACTGTCTCACCCTGCCCTGCTCAAAGGAATTACATTAACCAGGACTATACCACGTTTCCCTCTTGTGTTTAAAGGGGAGAAATGTCTCCCCAGCACACTGCTCCTTCACTTTCCAGCTTTAATTTTGTCTATTCACATTAACATTTTTACTCACCTATAACATTCTGAAGGCAATATACTATAAGGCTTACTAGGGATCAAAAATGTTTTTTATTTGTTCCTCATGTCAGTAACTTAGCTTAGTTATTCCTATCTAGGCACTTTTCATCCCAGAAACTCAAAGGTCTATGGAATGTTGCAAGTAAATCGCTAGTATTTATGAGTGACAGAGTGATGAGGCAAAAGTTAAATGACCTGCCTGGAGACACAGAACACCACAATGCAGGAGAAGCAAGGAGATAAAGAGGAGTCAGGATTCCCAGTCCTCTGATATACCCTGCAAGGCAAGCATTCTCATCAACACCCTTGTTCCCATTTCACCTTCCAAATTGTTTTTTGGAAAAAAAATTGTTTTATTTATTTATTTGGGCTTGGAAAAAAAAATGTTTTATTTATTTATTTGGGCTTTCATCTCAGCAGAGTTCTTTCTTTCTAGGTGCAGAACTTTGCTGTATTTCATAAAGTTCCTATTAGCCCCCCGCTCCGCACCCCGCCAGCCTGTCCCACCAGGTCCCAGGTACAGCAGTCCTGCCCTACAGTGGTTGGTCTCCCCAGTTTGGTGTTTTCTGCAGTCAAGTGAACTCCATCACCTCCTCCGGGTCACTGCTGAAGACACTAAACAGGCCATAGCACAGACTCTTCCAGTAGTCCAACTTGTTACTGGCCCCTACACGTAGAGCATGACCAGATTTCTATCCATCTGGTTGTCCACCCATCTAAACTGTAACATCCCAACTTGGATACATGCATACTGTGAGAGACCATATTGGAAAGCCTTGCTAAAGTCAAGGTAAGTGACAACTATTGCTCTCCCTTTATTCATAAACCTATTGTGGAAAGCATTCAGGCTGGTCAGGCATGATTTTGCCTTAGGAAATCCATACTGACTGTTCCTAACATCCCTCTTCTCCTTGTGTGGGCTGAGATCTCTCAACTGGCTCAATCTTTGTCCACTGCTGGTGTCCTCTTCCCTGAACCATTCCCGAGTATAAAGATCTGAGGGACCTTACTAGTACAGACTGAAGCAAAGAAGACATTGAGCACCTCAGCCTTATCTATGTTACTCCAGCCATGTTACTAAATCACTCACACCATGCAGCAACAGGATCACTTCTTCCTTGTTCAGTCTTTTACTGCTAAGAGTCACAAAAGCTGTTCTTGTTAACCTTGATCCCTCCTCGCAAGCATGAATTCTGAGTGAGCTTTAGCTTCCTAAAAACCATCCCCACATGGCTGGCCAGTGTTTGTGGATTCTTCCTTTGTACCACACACCTGCTTCTACCTCCAATATACTGCACTAGGACTAGGGTTCAGCCATGTAAAGACAGGACAGGTCCCCCGATCGATCCACCTGCATTCCTGGACTGTTCTTGCATTTGGGAGACACTGTTCCTAATGAACTGCCAACCTTAATGAACTCCTTTATTCTTCAGAGCTGCCCCCAGGGATTCCACCCCTACACATTTCCTGTGTAACCCCCAAGGTCTGCTCTTACTGCCCTCCCCACTCATCTCAGGATTTTCAGAAATACAGGATTCAGTATAGCGCACAATTCAGAACTGATCAGACAGACAAGAGTTAATTATCGCACAATTCTTGTTGCTAGAGTAACAGCACTACTTTTCTATTTATTTGTATCATCTGTTCCAGGAAAGACACCGAGGCAGTCTTCTATCTGAAGAAGTTCACAGTACGATGAGCAAACTGTCAAGATTAATTCTGGATGCATTGGAACTAGTACTAAATTTATTATAGCCCAACATAAGGGAATTTGGAACTTCTCTCCTGCCTTTCACCTGTTCACTAGGGAGTGAGGGTAATTATCTTAAAATGGTAATTAGAGAAGCTTGTGGGAGCTTCTAAGACAGAACCAAGGAAAAGTGAGGGAACAGAGATAATACAGGGCTAGACTAATAAAAGTGTTTGCCTATTTCTTCATTTTACTGAATCCTTGCAATAAAAATTATTTGGCAGCTCATTCTAGGGTGAAGGGGAGGGATGATAATCCTGCTGAAGACATCGAGACGGCAGAAACTAGACAACAAACTTGTTATTCCTCTGCCCCACCACCCTACATTTACTCTGCCACAAAGAAAGATGTTAAAGCCTTTGCAGTCACCTGCATGTACCTCTATCAACCAGAAATCAAAAACTCTGTTTCACATATATACTTGAGTCACTTAACTTTCAGGAAAAGTTTGAAATTGTTCAGGATTAGCACTTTTAAATCCAACTAACAGGTAGAAAAGCACAGTCATTCTCTGTTAATTACATTTTTTAAAAAAACTGCTTATCAGGAGCAGAAAACTACAACTATTTTGCAAGGAAATCCAGATGGGGCTTCCTTGAATCCAGGTTTTCATTCACCAAACACAAATTTTTATTCGGTAGAATCAGAAAGTCGCCATCTGACTGTGATGGCTCAAGACCCAGAGTCCCCGAAACGGAAGCAAGTTGTGTCTTTGGGTATGATTCAGCACAGACCTCACTCTAGGCAGCTGGCAAAAAACACACCCAGTGGAACGAGTATCGACTGCGCATTTGGCCAAGGATCACAGCACCACTTCCTCCAGTGTGACATGCACCTGAACACAGCAAAATCCAACACCCAGATCTGTCTGTCTGGGACAGGAAATCCCCACCAAATTACTGCCTTCCTTCTAAGATTCTGCTGACATACTGCTAAAGATGTACTAAAGATTAATTTTACTTTAGACGCAGCAAACACTCTCTTTGATAACTAGTTATAATGCGGACCCTAAAACTGGCACAAGTGCCTACAGGCCTCAGGAATAAAGAGACTGCTAAGGCTTCCCTTCCACACACGGCTTACTGTCCCGCTTGTTTTCTCACTCTTGGCAGGTGAAAAGGGAGAGTTGTTCTTTACGTGAGAGCGCAGCTGGAATGGACAGAGTTCCACCTGGGGACAGACAATGACCCAGTTGGGAGCTCACGAGTTGAACACAGGGCAGACCAACATGGGTGGCGTTCCAGTGGATGTCTGCTGTAGACAGCCTTATCAGGAGGAACTACCCAAGGCTTTCTTCAGGCAATTGTATCAGGAGTGTCAGGCTTCTTCCAAGTGATTGAGGAGCCAAAGATGGGAGGAACTCCTGCTGGGCCTCATACTTACAAACAAGAAAGAACTGGTCAGGGATTTGAAGGCTGGGAGCAAACTTAGCTTCAGTAACTAGATCTTAGTTACTTTGGGATCTTAATAGGAAGGAAAAAAGCAAAGAGCAGGACCACAGTTGTGGACCTCAGGAGAGGAGTCTTTGGCCTGTTCAGAAATCTGCTTTGAAGAATCCTGTGGCATGTGGTCCTGAAGAGAACAGAGGTCCAGGTGAGCTTGCTGATTTTTCAAGTATCACCTTCTTCAAAGTAAAGAGGAGAACCATCACAAGTTCACCAAAGAACTCCTGACAAAATACAGTCATGAAAAGGAAACACAGAGGAGACAGCAGCAAGGACAAGTGATCTGGGAGAAATACCAAGGTGCAATGAGAGTATGCAAGTACGGGGTTAGGAGAGGCAAAGTCCACCCAAAGCTACGAAGGGCAACAGGAAGGACTTCTTGGGAATTGGCATCTGAATGGGAATCAGGACCTGGTCATAAAGGACACAGAAGATGAAGGGACTGAATGCCTTCTTCACCTTTATCTTTATGGGTAAGATCAGCCTTCCAAAACACATTTCAAATTAAAAGACATCAAAAATACAAGTATACTGTGGATACAGTAATATTTATGTATTTAAGAGAACGTTTCTGCTATATCAGAATACAAGGTACTGATAAGAATATTCTTAGCTCGAGCAGACAGCGGTCAAATAGAAACTTCTTCCACATACTTAGTTCCTACAGTTTATTTAAAGGAGAAAGTGGACGAGCCAGAAATTCACAAGTAACAGTCAAATTCATAGTTTTTATTACATAGAATCAGTAACTGCTGCTTACTCTATATGAACTTTTTCTTCAGTATCAGTTATACACCCTTTGAATAGGATGTAAATATACTGATGTCGTAGACTAAATCAGGAAAGTTGTCACCACAGTCTACTGTGTTCTCATGACTCTTAGACAACTGCCCTCCTAGCCAAAACCTTTATAGTACGGAGTAGTAATGCATTATTCAACAATTTGTCTACTTACTCGTATAACAAGAACAAAAGTAACTATTAACTTTCTAACGTGTTTGCAAAGTCAGGATGACTTTTACCATTACTGTCACAGGACTGAGTAATCTGCACTTGTAGGAGAATCGAAAGCCAGGTCTGATAGAACCTTTTACCAGGAAAACACACATACGCACAGAGTTTTAAGTAAAAGTTACTTTTTACCACATGGAAAATACCTGTTTAAAGCTCCCAGGCTGCATCACTCAAATTCTGCTCCGGAGCCATTCTGCCTTTACTTGGTTTTGTTGCCCCTTGAGAATTTTGTCATGCAAGTGGGGAGAATTTTGTTCTGATTTTGACTCAGTTTGTGCATTCCCAGTACTATTCCTTGCACTTAAAAAGGGTGCTAAGGTTGCAAGTCACCATCTTTCCTTCATCTTTACTTTTCCATTAAAGTAGAGAAGCGTTACTGTATTGTGCTTATTAAACAGAATTTAGTTTTCAAGAAATTAAATAGCATTTCAAATTGCAAAACAGTTAGGGAAGCAGACCTACAAAATTAAAGAATTTTCTATCATCCTTCAACAGCTGTTAGGGACCCATCTCAATATATGCAGAATAATAGTATGAAGTGGGCTACATCAAGTTAGTGTACTTATTCTCATTATGTAGATCTTACAGTTTTCACTACAGTAACCACTACAGGTTGTTGGTTATTACAGTTACCTTCTTAGTTAATGGCCTACTGCCTACAGCATCTAACAAGATCTTCTACACTTACGTACTATTTTAAGTCAGAAGTGATAAGGTATAGACATGCCATGGAACCCTAACTCTGCATTTCTCCATTTCTGCTCAGATTCTTTATCTCAGCCGTGAAGATACATAATACTTTAAGCACAGTAACATATGCTCTTAGGTTTGTATACTTACACTGATACGGAATATTTTAATAATAATGAATTCTCTTCTTCATAAGAACTGAAACATGAAACTTTTATTGCAACACCAACCTCTGACAATATTTCAAAGATTATACATCTTTATGCTTTGAAATGTCAATGCAGCAATGGCTGTCAGTTAAGAAACTTAAAACTCAAATAACTCTCTTCTCTCTGCACTGGAGAAGCCTTTACCACTACTAAATAGACACTCCTATTACTCTGTTGCAACATCCCCAGGTGCATCATCAATATATCTCAGTCTTAGAGGTTTATTGTCCCTTATCTGGTGAAATTTAGCAGATAGAACAACAGACTCAAAGGAAGGAAATACAGAATAATTCAAGAAAATTCAGAGACAGAGGCAAAAATCTTAGGTAAGAGGCATAAAAACGATTCAGTGATCCTGCAATACTAGAACAAGGGCCTCAATTGGCCTTACAGTAACTGTAACAGGTTTCCAACTAAACCAGCAATTGGCCTTATTTGACATACTTATCATCATGTTCAAGTTTATTTCTAAGTGTCCTGACCACTTAATTTTGGTTTTGTTTGGGTTTTTCCTATTATCCAAAAGAATAAACCACCCAATTTTGAGTTTCAGTTCCTACAAGGAATGAAATAAATATCTTCTCACAGTTAGTTGCTATGGAAATAGAATTTCACAACTGGACCTCCGTTGGAACAAAATGTAGAAACAACTCAAAAAAAAAAAGCAGCTCTTATTTCTGAAAATCGGTTGCTTAAAGACATACGGACTAAGGATAAGGTTCAGACAACAGACAACTTTTTGGAGACTAATCCAAGACTTGTATCTCCATAAAACAGATTATCTAACTTCCTAGCAATATGTCAGTCTCCCAGTTTTTATGTGCTCTCAAATAATTATGACTGCTATCTACCCAGCCTGACCATCTTGTGAAATTATATCTGCAGACTAATTTATCAGTTGGAATTTGATATTCCTTTCAAAAAACCTGTTAACACCTACACTCCTCTTCAGTCTGTAGGTTTGAGGAACGTGCATTTTTTGAACAGAAAACTGATGCAAAGGAAAACAAAGAAAAGATCTGTTGACTTTTTCTGATGTATATAGCCCATACCTCTAAAAGAACATTAACAGATAGATAAATTTGCCACCACGTTTCTTCCAAGACATTTTACAGGAAGTCTGCTTTTTTTGCCTTGAATGACCACTCAAATTGTTCATGGATAGAACTGACAGATTATAGCAAACCTTTGAAACCATTATACCTTTAATTCCCCTAGTGCAGCCCTTCATACTTTTGATGTTCCCCCCCCCCATCATTTTTTAGCGAGAGCTTATTATACACTGAAATTCTATCTTCCACATGCAGAAGGAGGGAAGGATGTTATTAGAGGAAAAATAAAGCACTTGTTTGAAGTCACATTTGCCACTAAAGAATTCTTCTACTCCAGTGATATTGACTAATCAATCTTGAATTTGTACGCCATCCATTAAGAAACAAAACTACTATGGCATGTATTTTTAAAGAGAGGATGCAACTGTCAGGTTCCTTCAAAATAAGTCTTCCTGTAGATAAGTAAGATTTTTGTCGTCTTTAAATCCAGTCAAAAGTTTTATCATTCTAACAAGAACTTGAACTGTCAAGTGTTGCACATGAGATGAAAAACTGCAGTCTGGAGAAACTGCTGGTTATTTTAGGGAAACAAGGAAATGTGAAAAATGGATGTAAAAAAGATTTTCAATTACTGAAAGACGTGGATAGATCAGATGCACTTTTCAGCAATCGAGTAATTCCTCTTCCTCGCATGGTACTTATTCCATAAAGGGAAGTCTTTGCACCACGTAGAAAATCACCTATTAAATGAAGTTTGCAAATCAAATCAGACTTTAAAGTTTGCATAAATTAATAGAATTGTTCTTCATATGCTGTGGAGCTGAACATATTCAATAGCTCTAATACAAAAAGTCAGAGTCAGGGGTTGTATCCTCTATAAACACCAAGACCATAGGATCTCATGATTTATAATTGGAATCGTTTGAGTTTAATACAGTGTCTTTTATATGCAGCGAAATAAGCTGCAAACTCAGAACTCTTACAGTTTTTTTGTCTTGCAAACTTGATTCTGTTCCTGTGAGGATTAGCCACGAACTGCCCAGATGAACTGAGCTGATGTGCTTTCTACTAAAACAGTTTTCTCTCCAGGAAGATTTTAAATGAGCAGTCTTTATGAAATGAGTTATAACAGAATACTTGCAACAAGTACCTGCTAAGTCTGCACATATAATGACTTAAGAGCAGGAGAGTATTTTAAACATGGCCCTGCCTCAAAGCACCTAAGCATATGAGAACAGACTTCATGTAGCAGAAAAATAAAGGTGTGTAAATCAGAGAGTGACATTTATTAGAAAACCTAAATTGTGAGAGACCTTTTTGACCATAATATTGTGTCCAGTAAGAAAAGGGCAGCTCTTTATGTTTACACTTTCAGAAATTCAGTGACATTTACATGCAGGAATAAGCACAGCTCATGCAGAGCTGTTTAAGCTTTATGCCGCTGACAGGCAATATCTAAGCTCAGAAATTTAAAAAAGTAGCAATTGGATTAAGCTTAAATACCTCTTTCCCCTTACAAATTTCAAACTCACAATTAGAAGGGAGAAACTCTTGATCCTGACTTGGAGAAGCAAAACGTTTGTCACATCCAGAACCCTCAGCCTTTGTTTTCTGTATGAAGAAATAAACATTCGAAGTAACATCTGTCTTCTGAAATGCGGTATACACAGCTATCCATGAAACCTACAAATTATGATCAAAAATCACAAGAAGTGACCCAGCTACTGATTATTTTTCTCTCATTGGGTCTGCCCAATATACGTCAGAAAAGACAGCATCCAAAGAGGAGAAAGCTAACCTGAAACTGGCAAGTATGAACACTCAAGTTAACTAGAAATTAAACAGAATACCAGTTTAAAGAATCTGACCTGAAAACGTCCAGTATCCAGTATCACCATCTTGGTATTTGTACTTTCACCATAATCAGAATCTTGAAGAGGCAGGTGAGCTGCTGTCAGTGAGACCCCATACACAGTAGCTAAAGACTTACTGATGCAGTAACTTGACCGAGAAAAAAAGGAAAACAAGAAAAGTTTGGCTAAGGGGGCTGTAATGCTCACGTACAGAAGCACAGCATTTTCAGTTCTTCGACTGGCAAACAAAAGCAACCACAGAACAGATGACAGAAGGCAGGGGGACATTACTGCAGCAGCTATATAGTTACCCCACATCCTTCCAAGATCACCAGCCTAGTCTACAACTATACATAAAAATAAAACCACTTCCCCACACTATCAAATGCAGACCCTTAGGAGGCTGAAAAGCAACACCCTTTTATTTTTTGCAATGCATAGCAGTATCTAACGAGTTTTTTTGAATGAAAGACTATTCATTATCATCTCTCTCAAAGTGCTACTACTACTACTGACTGAGATCTTAAATAGTATTTCCTTATTTCCCAACTATTTACTTTCACTTCCCCCCCCACACCAAAAAGATTACAGAACCTTATGTATCTACACTATATGTAAGGCAGTATAAAAGTTTCCCAAGTAGAGACATTCTAGAAGATACTGAGAATTTCTCATCAAATACAGGTATACTAAACCTCTGAAGGAAAACAGTTAATTCCACTGTAATTAACACTTCTCTCAGCTCTTCAATAGTAAGTGGAGGTAGTGAAAGGATTAGTAGAGTGGCGGACGTTACTATCACAGAAATTACAGAGTAACTCCTTAGCAATACTCACGCAATTTTCTTACAGGATGCCAAAGCGCAGCAGAGTATGTCATTCTCTTCATGCCACTTGCACCTACATGAAATGAAGCTCAGGCTTATTTCAGAAGCATCTACATCTTTAATTAACATGAACAGTTGGTCCGGTCAGAAGGAACAGGAACTAACATTAAAGATGTTATCTTTTTGTCTCAGTGATCATACAGTACCTTTAAAATTTCACAGAGGACCAGCATTCAAAAACTAAGCTCCAAGTGGCTTATGCAGAGTTAAAGGGCATGCTTAACAGGCAACCTGCTTCATGCTGAGAGTGGGGGAAGGGAAAAAAGAGAATCCTAAGAAACAAATGGAATTTAAAAAGGTAGTTATTTGGAGTTTCCCATTAATGTAAAATAGTTTCTCTTAGTATAAGCATCCCCACTTTCCTCTCCGAGTATGTTTTTTAAAGGACATTTTTTCCATTCTTAAGGTGTCCCTCTAGTGTGAAGATAGCCATGGAAATGGAAAACTACTTGACTACAAAAAGATAAAGCAAGAGTGATTATCCCAACAGATCTTAAAATCCATACTGTAAGCTGACTTCCAAGAATAATCCTTTTTAAAAAAAAAAAAAACGAAAACACACAACTCTACTAAAATTTAAGAACAAGTTATTGGTTGTTACTTAAAACAGCAGCAGAGAAAAAGTTAAGGTATATTTTTCAGTTAACTGTGTCATCACTAAATATTCCCCTGCAACAGCACAAGCTACGTATTACTACTTTGTACAAACACAGAAGAATCTAAAAGCATGAAAAGTATTACTGTTCAAAACACATAGGAAAAAAAAAGAAAACATCCTACAAAGTAAATAGGATTCCAGATATGTTATAAAAAACATTAATTCTGGAAGAAAAAAAGATCGGATCTATCTTATCGCTTATGCTTGAGAACTTGATTTATACCCCCAGCAACCATACCTCGTCCCTCATCACAGTAGCAGCACGAGGCATTTGATGTATAGCAACAGCCAGGTCCCATCCAAATTGCATTTCTAACAGTCTGAATCTTCTTATTTCTATGATTTCCAGTTAAATACCACAATATGTTTTATTCCCTTTTTTTACCCCCTCCTTTAAATTAGGCCTCAGCCTCAGTATTAAAAAGCCATCTACCTTGACACTTCTTTTGGGAAAGTATTTTTCATTTCGAGTTGTACTCATGATAAGAAGCATTTTGGATCAGAAGGCTTGCAGAACATTCTAGCCCAGCAGCATACAAGATCTATGGAGGGCATCGAGACACGTCGGGCTAATACACGTTTCCACAAAGAAGAGTCCAACGTACCTGGTATTACTGGAGAAATCCCACAGGACAGTATCCAGCTCTCTACACACCCAAGTCTTGGATGGTTCTTTTTGGTATTTCTTCTGGTACAGTTCTAGTACCAGGTTTTCCACAGCAAGAAGCTCCAGATGGCTCTTAATGCCTATAGCTCAGAGAAAATCCAAATCAGAACAAGTCAGTGAACAGTCTGCTTGGCTCACATTTCAGTCAAGTCCCTGTTCACTACCCAGCCTTTTACCAGAGCATCAAAGCTCTTGTAAACCTTAACAAGTTATTTCACCAGTGGTTTTAATAAAACCTGGCTTCCTAGCAAAGTGGGTCATCCTATATTTTCATAATTTTGTCTGCCTCGGTAATTATGTACCCTACTTGTGGGCCGTATCTTCAGAAGTTGTTAGTTTTCCCATGTGCTACCATACGCTCACCTTCAGTGATCTCACTGCCTCTAGTGCTCCTTTAACTGGCTGAGCAAAAATGTGCATGCTGCTCTATGGATGTGCTCATTAACCAGTTAGCTGATTCTGCTGCTGTTTTCCTGTCACTGATGGGGAGGACAAGAGGGAGAAGCACACAAAGTAGTTCTAGCTATCTCAAAGCTTCTATGAAACCTTTGAAGCTTGAAGACAAATACAGACAAATACAGCTGTCCATTGCTGAGGGAGCTGGCAGATGTTATTGCAAAGCCACTCTCCATCATCTGTGAAAGGTAATGGAGGACAGGAGAGGTGCCCGAGGACTGGAGGAAAGCTAACATCATGCCAGTCTTCAAAAAGGGCAGGAAGGAGGACGTGGGAAACTGCAGGCCAGTCAGCCTCACCTCTACCCTTAGAAAGGGGACAGAACAGCTCATCCTGGATGTCATCTCTAAGTATGTAGAAGAAAAAAGAGTAATTGGGAGCGGTCAGCATGGATTCACCAAGGGGAAATCACGATTGACCAATCCGATAGCCTTCTACAATGGAATGACAGGCTGAGTGGATGAGGGGAGAGCAGTGGATGTTGTCTACCTTGACTTCAGCAAGGCTTCTGATGCTGTCTCCCATAACATCCTCATAGGTAAGCTTAGGAAATGTGGGTTAGATGAGCGCACAGTGAGCTGGATCGACAACTGGCTGAAGTAAGTGGCAGAGCTCAGAGGGTTGTAATCAGTAGTGCAGAGTCCAGTTGGAGGCCTGAAACTAGTGGTGTTCACCAGGGGTCAGTGCTAGGTCTGGTGTTGTTCAATATACTCACTGATGACCTGGATGAGGGGACAGAGTGTGCCCTCAGCAAGTTTGCTGATGATACAAAACTGGGAGGGGTGGCTGACACACCAGAAGGCTCTGCTGCCATTAAATGAGACCTAGACAGGCTAGAGAGTTAGGCAGTGAGGAACCTAATGAAATTAAACAAGGGCAAGTGTAGGGTCCTGCACCTAGGGAGGAATAACCCCATGCACCAGTACAGGCTAGGGGCTGCCCTGGTGAGGTCACATCTGGAGTACTGCATCCAGTTTCTGGTCTCCCAGTTCAAGAATGACAGGGAACTACTGTAAAGAGTCCAGCAGAAGGCTACAAAGATGATCAAGGGAATGAAGCACCTCCCTTACAAGGAAAGGCTGAGACCTGGGTCTGTTTAGCCTGGAGAAGACAGAGAGGATCTTATCAATGCTCATAAGTATCTAAAGGGTGGGTGTCAAGAGGATGGGGTCAAACTCTTCTCAGTGTTGCCTGGTGACAGGATGAGGGGCAACAGACGCAAGCTGGAACACAAGAAATTCCATCTCAACTTTTTCCCCATGAGGGAAAAACTTCTTTACTTTGAGGGCAACGGAGCACCGGAACAGGCTGTCTAGAGAGGTTGTGGAGTCTCCTTCTCTGGACATACTCAAAACCCACCTGGATGCATTCCTGTCCAGCTGGGTTCAACTAGGTGATCTCTGAAGGTCCCTTCTAAACCCTACCATTCTGTGATTACATAACCCTTCTTCCTTCATTTTTTTTTTGGGGGGGGGGAGGAGGGAGGGAGAGAAGGAGGGGAGGAGGGCGGGAGGAGGCACAAGAATGATTAATTTCCCACCTGTTATGCTAGCCATTCGATTGAGACACCAGCTAATTCGGAATCTGTCATCAGACTAGAGGAAAGAAAACGTCAGTCATATTGAAGAAGTACAGTATAATTCTGACATCTGTAAGACTTCTGACTTCATCTGAAAAAGTCACCCCCAGAACAAAATTCAATGTTTGTGGTACTTAATGTATACTCTTCCTGAAAATTATCTTGAAGCAGAACCAAATGCCACTGAGGCTTTCCAACCACATGTCAGGAGAAATTCTGGACTACTGTTTGGGGACAGGTTTAAGGTTAACCCATTCTACAGATATCTCCATGCGTATTTCTTCAATGCCCTACATTTAGGTATGGGGCCCAAGATCTTGACCCTCCCCACCTTTTTAAGGATTAACATCAGGCTCAAATGGAATCAAAATGCAATATAGTTGTCATGAAGCTTAAACGCCTCAGAATTCTAACATTTTGTTTTGCTCACTGGCAAATGAAACTTGAGCAAAAATTCAGACGTAGAGTATTCTTATGGTGAAAGAGTCATTAAAATGTAAAATCATCCCTTAGAAAAGCAGGATTGTGTGACTGTTATTCAGCACAAACAATTTAAGTCAAGGTTTTAAAAGCCCTTAACCTAAGCAAAAACAACGTCAGAGACCAAGTGAAATGTTCATCAGTAGACTACAGCCAGCAGGGCAGGCTGAAAATAAAAGAAGCAGAAAATTATGCCTCTGCTTTCTAAAAAGGTTAGCTTCTAGAGGCCACTTTTTCCTGCATGGAACTGGGATACTTTGGAAAAGAGTGTCTTTTCCCACTCCTTTGCACACCGATTAGGTTTTAGAGTGAAGTATGTCCTTAGTCACCCAACAGAAAAGCAATTAAAGGTTTTGATGTAGAGCACCTTACTTTGACCTTGACCATACCCTGCAGTAAAGCTGAAGCTGAACACCTCTGGCTGGCTGGACAAACTCAAGCAGCTCCCGTAAGACAACTGCATAAGAAGTACGTGAAAGATGAAATCCAGATATAGGGATCTTATGAGTGGCATCACCTAATGGGGGAGGGAGGGTAGGAAAAAAAAAGTTATGAGAAGTCCTGTTTCCCCCTTCTTTATATCTTTTAATACATATATATGTCTACACACAAACACACACCTCTCCTCTTCTCTACAGGCAGTGTCTGTGATTAAGCTATCAAAACCTTGCTTCTGCCAGCAGAAGATTGGCAGGTCTGGGCTGTGAGCAAACACACACACATTTACCCCTTTTAAAAGGCCATTATCTAAGTATTTGACATAGGAAAACATGAGTCAAGTTTGTTCCCTCTGTACACAAGGGGAGGAAGTGTTCTAATAGAAACAAACGGCAATCTATAAACACTACTTAAGAGACCCAAGGGAAACAAGGCAGTCCAAGCCAGACACAACAACTGTATAAATACAACTTTGTGGATATATGTGAAGCATCAAAACAGTTACAACTTTTAAATACAAACTAGTATCTTTGAGTTACCCTATTATGAATTAGCACTTCATGCTGAAGATATACACAAGGACTATCAAGGGAAGGAAACTGCTCAGATGGGCTTGAAAGCATTTAACGCATATAAAGTTGTCCCACTTAGTAAGAACATACTGCAGTTATTATTGAATAAAAATAGCAAGACAAAATACAAGTAATTCTGACATTGACAAAACCATTTTGGGTGAAGTGCTCTGCCACTTGTGGGTACAAGAAACATAAAAGGTAACTTCAACAAGCTGCTTCATCACTTCTTTCTCTTTGACATTTGAAAAGTTCCCAGAAGGAGAAACTGTAGGCTTACAAAACAATTGGATACAGATCAGATAAGCTGAGTCTAACACTATACACCTTTGCATACCATTCTTTTTCTCCACTGATACTCACTAGCAGCCTGGCAGTGGTACCGAAAACCACGTGGTGGTTCTTCTGCAGAAAAGCAGAGGAGATAGGAGAAAAAGAGCAATCATCATTCAGCATCCACAAATTACAGATCCTTAACTCTCAACTATATACCAAGCTCCATCTTCCCTTGTGGCCTTATAGAAATGCCACAACTATTTTTAAGAGTTATTTTCAGTTATATGCATTTCAAGAACCAAAGTGTATTGTATAGTGTGCGTGTTTAAGTCCAATTAAAACAAACATTCACTAGCATGAAACATAAAGCACAGAGATCTGAAGGTCCTCCTAGGATTTGTTCTATCCTCTTTGGAACTTCCTGCAGTTCTGACACTTCAGTCCATCTCTTCAGAAACAATCAGCACCGCTCCTCTATTTTTAAGTAGTCCAGCCACTTGTAGTCAAAGAAATAAATCTGTGTCAATACCAGAAATCTAACCTGGGCAGCAGTTAAGTGACACTAGAAAGCCTCCCTCTCACCCCAAAGCAAGATAACTACTTCTTGTCTCCCCTTCCTTAGAACTCACCTGGATCTATGAAGTGATGGAAATCTGCCATTATGCCATCCTGTAGGGAGTACTTGACACACCCAATCTCACAAGGAAGGAAACGCTGGTCACAGTGGGATGGCAGCTTGCCATGGCTGTAAATGTTCAGGAAGTAGAAGATATCTGCAACCACAGCTGAAAAAAAAAAAAAAAAAAACAACCAACACATTTTCAGAAGTGCCACCAGAGGTTACAGCAAGCCATCCTGACCTCACTTCATCCAGTGAAAGTTTTGGTGCACTTTATCATGAATAAGTAGGGTAACGATCACATAAAATACAAAGATCTTTCTATGTGTCTGAGATGACAAGGTAACTAATACTTATGCAAGAGTCAGGCATACTGGTAGTCCTGGTACACCTTCCATAGATGCTACTATGTGTAGAGGCCAAAAAAACCCCAAATAAAAGCAACTAAAAAAACCCACCAAACCCCAAGCCCCAAACCCACAGGAATGTTAAGAGGCCTGGAATCCAACAGAACTACTATTGCTTTTTATGGTAAGTCTCTTCACCCTTTCGGAAACCAAACAAACAAACAAAAAAATCAATAACTGCAAAACAGCCTCACAAGCTCAATTCAGTAACTTTCACAAGTTAAATGAGCTGGTAATAATCTTCTGGGGTGAAAGAAGATGAGGAGTCTGCTAATTAAAAGTCTGCTTCTCCTCCGCTAAATAAGCCCCTAAAGAAGGTGGCAAAAATACCCATATTAATGTTAAAATTAAAATGTTAAGAAATAATTAGTTTACTAATTTTAAAAAGCATTTAAAAATATTTTACAATACTTCTTAATCTTTCTCTTCATGAATGTCAAATAGTGTTCTCAATGAAGCTTAAAGCAGCTATTTAATCCTTCCCCTTAAGTTCTGCCCCTCATCAAAAAATCCTACTTGTTAGACTAAATAACAGAGATGTATAACTTTTTATACAGAAATGATGCTGTATGCCAGACTTTATTGCATTTAACACCAGCTGTCCTAAGCTTGAATGCTGGTGCTCTCTTACCTGGGTCTTGAACTTTACCAGCTACAGGGTCATAGGAAAGATACCTCTCCTACCCAAGTCCGAACTGCTTTCCTTATGAAAAAATGGATATAGCTATGGAAACCATACAGGACTTTTACTAAGACATATTAAGCAGCAGCATCATAAAATGCATCTCAGTTATCCCTTGTCATTATCCCTCTCATTCAGTTTAAAGACCAATTGTGTCAGCTCAAGCCACCATGATCAACCTGATCAAATTTGCACCACAATGAGAGGGGAACATGACCTCTGGCAGGGAGGACGCTAACAGGTATTACACTCTTTCCTGCCCCTCCATAACCATGACAACAGGAAAATAGTTCAAGAGACTTGTTCAGTAAAAGGCTTGAGCTGAAACTTAACCACACAGCAGACACAGCTTATATTAACTGGCTGCTTGACTTATCCTGTAAGCACTACCATTTATCATTTTTCAGAATAATGTAAAATTCATGGGGAGAAGACTACAGATGTGTTCATTACTCAATTCTAATCAAAACATCCATTTGAAGAAGGGCTACAGATAAGAAAGGTCTCGTTTTCAAGGGTTCTTCCAATAATAAAGCAAGCCAGGATGTTATAAAAGTACTGACAAAGTATATATTCCCTCTTTTATTCTCCCAAAGAGGCCAAGTCATCATTTTATTTAACAGCTCTACCACACAAATTCTGAACTTTGATATCTAACAACTCTTCATCCTTTAAAATTGGCCTCATAAATCATAAACGTGGGAACATGCAGAATTTTTTTTTTTTTAAAACCTTGAAATAATTGTAAAGAAACTATTAGTGACTATACTGCCAATCAAGTTAAAAAACAGAATTATTTTGGGGGCTGGGGAAAAGGACATTTGCACTGACTTCCCTCTTTACTACAAAAGATCTTTTCACAGCAGTAGACCATTAGTTTAAAACAACAAAACAGTTGACATAGATGGCTATTAGCAAAATGTAATACAGCCTTTGTATAGGTACCATTGAGAATATCTATAAAGGGCAAGCTTTTATCTACCAGAATCAACTGCTTTAAGATTACTATACCCTGATCGTTCTTCCAAGACATTGCAGAGGCATCTGGAAGAGAAGTAATACCAGCTATCTTTGTGGTCAGACAAGCAGGAACTGGATGAGCCAGGTTACACATCTGGAAAAGATGAAAAAATTAAAAAACTCCCAATAACATCCTTCACCTCCTTCTATTGGAGAAACATATGATGTCCATTAACAGTTATAGTTAGGTGGAACAAGTCTGCAGTTTATACTCAGGTGCCTGCATACCTGCAGGCTGGAAAGCAAAGATTTCTCTTCTAACAAAAAGAGAGAGAAGTACCTTATTACCTTGGTCAACTCAGTACAACTGGAAAGAATTACAATTTTTAATTGTACAAATTTTAAAAATGTAATTAAAAAAAAAAATCAAAAGTATTACTTTGTTGGGTTCAACCACTTGCACAGACTAAGAACTTTTCAAATTGGAATTTCAATTTTTTTCCATAACCTGTAGAAAAAAATTTCACATGTGCATTAGTTGCCTTTGACTAGAAATGGAACTGCTGAAAAGCTGATAAAGCCTCAAGGAAGTCACCAGATATGTCTGGCACAGAGCAACTAAGAGGGGCATGTATGCCCATTAAGCACTGCAAATCCATGCATGAATAAGCTTTTAAGCGAACAGAAAGAGAAATCTGGCAGGCCTACAGAATTCAATCATTCAAGACCCAAATTGGGAATAACATCCACATCTAGGTACACTAATTCCAGATTAAAATCTCAGCCAAAGCCCGTGATTATCAGTTTGAACTATTTAAAATAAAATGAGGAATTAGCCACATCGAAGTAAGCTTAGGGCATCTCCAAAAGATGACCAAGACCTTTCACTACACAAAATAACTGGTTGTCTGTGTACAGGGGTGTGATTAATAAACTGAGATCACATATAATCTTGTACATACACACTTGCCTATTTCCACTAACAGACAATAAGGATGATGTTCTTCGTTTTGGTAAAGCAATTATTCCTTTCCCTGATTGCAGCTTTCTAAAATGCTACTGATTGTCAAACAAAATACAGAAGCCTCTGTTTATGACTTAGTTGTCATTTCACGTAGGTCTCCCTTATATATGACAAAGAAGCTCCATTAATTACATATCCCTGGCCTGCCAAATAACACAATGATAACCACATTTTAAACAGCTCTTTTCCATACAGGCAGAAACATTGCCCAACATCTCCCTACTAGTCCAGATTGACTAAATTGACTAATCCAGATTTACTAGTTACTCCAAGATATGATCATCCTGTCATTCTCTTTAGCATTGTTTAAGTGTTTTAAGTCCTAAATTTACCCTTACCAGTAATTTGTAGTTCATAGTTAGTATCTAGTAATATAGGATGAAGAAATAAATGCAGTATTATCCATTTACTCAGTAAGGCTCTTTGCTTTGAAATACAAGTTTTCACACAGCAAACCAAGACTAGGATAAAATAAGCTTTCTGACACCTCACATAATTCAAACTCTGAAGCAAACTATGCTTCAGGGAACTGCTGGGAGAGGGAGAGGCAGACAGAAGGGGAAAAAAAAACAAAACCAAAACCAACAAAGAAGACACACACGCCTTTTCAAGAGAAGTGATCCAGTTAGCACTATTTCTAACCTTAACAACATTCAGCTTAATGTAACTACTTACTTTTATATTGTGGGATTTTGTCCTCCACCACAGCACTACTATTCTCTCCACAATCAAACCAAACTAAAAATAACGATAAGGTATAACTATTATTTTTGTGTGTAGGTTGCAACATTTCTTTGACCTGGCCTAACACACAGCTGTTCAAAAATGCCAAATCGGGTGTATGTAAGATGTGGTTTCAGGATATCAGACAAGAACGATCAAAATTATGGACATCTGTGAATCAAAAGCAACATGAACCTATGAACCAGAAGTCATACCAATTTACAGTATTACAAATAAAAAAAACAGTGTAAGTCAGTCACTGCAAAATAAATTGTTAGAGAACTACATTCTACTTAGTAGAAGAGCCCACAGGAAGAAACTGTGTTGGTTTAAAGTGGTATAGAGTGTTCTCACCTTCAATATAAACCAGAACAATTTTCTGCTTAACTTTTTCAATGGTATAGACTACCACAGCAGCCATAATCTTCAGAGGCTGGAGGCTATGGAGAGCAGATGATCTTCCACACCATCACAGCTGACCAAACCCCACCACCACTTACTCCCCCTCTTATTTAGCTATATCGAAGGGTGTTCCTTTCTCAGCATTTACCTCTTTCACTGTCTTCTGACTGTGCCTCTTTTCATTCCACTTTCGAGCCTTCTCGGTATATATCATCTTTTCCTCCTCAGTCAGCAGCTTGAAGGAAAGTGAATTGTTAAAGTTTTTACTGCTTTCTTCTAGTAGTCCCACAACCCAACAAACTCTGTGTAAGACATCACTTGTGCATTTCCAAAGGACATTAACCAATGCTTGGCAAGACCTGCCAACTGCTAACATCGACAAACATTTCCAGTTGCTTTCTCCCTAACAAAGCCATATGCTTTGATTCAAAACATCTAACAAGCAGGTGCTTTGAAGTCTCTTTGGACAAGGGCAAACTAGCACTGCCCCATTATGAACAAGAAGTCTGAAAACTACTCTTGCCAGCTGGGTATGCTACAACCCATCGCAAAAGAAGCCAGATCACCCTCCCTGTAGCTGAGGGGAGGTCGGTATAGCTTCTGCTTTTTGGCTAGAGCCAGCTGAGGCCACTTAGCATGCCCACTTGAGCTGCTGAACATAGGGCAGCTGAGCCACCAGCCAGCCTACCCTCCAAGAAGGGCCACGCAGACATTTTGTCCCACACACAACCTGCACAGGGGCACCACACAGATCCACCCGATGGCCACTGGCTCCCCATGAGCAAGATGCAGGGGAGCCGCTGTGAAACCCACGGCTTCAGCACACTGCGGGTGGTGCTGGACCGCGCCCCCCCCGCCATTAAGCTGCCTTAACCCGAGGCCGTTCCCCCCCGCCCGGCCCCGCAAGAGGCCCTTCCCCTCACCGCCCAGGCCTGGGAGCAGTAGGGCATGGCGTCGACCACGCCGGTGGCGGGCAGCCCGCGCCCACGCAGCTCGGGCAGCTGGTCGCGCACGAAGAAGTAGTAGGCGCTGCGGTAGTCCCGGCGGTGCGCCATGGCCAGCGGCCGCCCGGGCCTCGGCTTCGGCCTCTCCCCGTCCCGCCACACCGCGGCGGCGCCGGTGTCTGCTCACGCGGACGGGGTAGCCTCCGCCCCCCCTTCGGGGCGGGACCGAGGAGGCGCGCGCCTTTTGGCGGCAAGGGGGAGGTCGAGGTTACAGGTAACGGTCGCCCGCGTGCCGGTGCCGGCCCCCGCCTCGGGGCTGAACCGGCGCGTGTGGGGCTTTATTGGCGGGGTCTGGGGGCTGAAGGGCGAGAGGCGCCCCCTTGGGGGCAGGAGCTCGCACCAAGCTCCGGGGGAGGTTCGAAGCGCGGGGTTCCCGCCCTCACAAAATGGCCGCAGGTACCGAACCTTCGAAATGAAAAGGGGCTCAATCACAGAATCACCACGGTTGGAAGGGACCTCTGAGATGATCAAGTCCAACCTCAAAAAAAAAACAAAAAACCCAAACCCAACAAAAACCCCCACAACAAAACAAAAAACAAACAACCCACCACATCACACCCACCCACAAACTAACAATCCCGGGCACTAGAGCATGCCCTGAAGAGCCATATCTACACGTTTCTTAAATACCTCCAGGGATGGTGACTCCACCACCTCCCTGGGCAGGCTGTTCCAGTGCCTGACCACCCTCTCAGTAAAGTAATTCTTCCTAGTATCTAATCTAAACCTCCCCTGCTGCAACTTCAGACCATTTCCTCTGGTTCTGTCATTATTCCCTTGGGAGAAGGGAATAATTATATTCTGCTAAGGTTTATCTTCTCTCCTTGCTCAGGTGCTGCCAAATACCATCAAATCTTGCAAAAAGTAGAGCCACGAATTGTCATTGTAGAAGAGGCAGCAGAAATGCTTGAGGCTCGCACCATTACTACTCTGAGTAAAGCTTGCCAGCATCTCATCCTCATTGGAGATCACCAGCAGGTAACAACCATGACTAATGTCTCTATGCTTTGAGCGACACAGGATTAATTTCTTTCTCAGAAAGAAATCTCAGAGGAAGAAATTCTTTTGAATTTCTTCATTCATTCAAGAATTTGAAGAAATTCTTTCTCAGAAAGACCTTTTTAGTAAGGTCTCTTCTAATGCTTGGGAAAATGGTGGTTTTAGATTATTTCATATCTGGATTTGTGTGAAAATACTTACTTTATAGCAGCAGGTAACAACCATGACTAATGTCTCTATGCTTTGAGCGACACAGGATTAATTTCTTTCTCAGAAAGAAATCTCAGAGGAAGAAATTCTTTTGAATTTCTTCATTCATTCAAGAATTTGAAGAAATTCTTTCTCAGAAAGACCTTTTTAGTAAGGTCTCTTCTAATGCTTGGGAAAATGGTGGTTTTAGATTATTTCATATCTGGATTTGTGTGAAAATACTTACTTTATAGCAGCTATGGCATGTGGGTTTCAAGGTCTCAGCATTTCTGAGCCTTGCCATGGGTATGGGGAGGAGCAAGACCTGGGCCCTTGACCCAAGCTGGCCAACAGGATTATTTCATACCATGAACGTCACATTCAGTTTAAATTAGAACATTTGCTGAGGAGTTTCTCACTCTCTCCCCTAATGGCTGCCATCCTGAGAACTGCTTGCGCCCATGCCAGACCCCTGAGCCCTTCACTCCTCCCAAAGCCCTAGCGCTTGCGGTGTCCGACATGTGCTGGCCACGGCTGGGAGTGCACAGCTTCCTGCTGATAGAATGGGCTGAGTATAATGCTGGTGTATCTTATATTGGTGTCAGGGTCAACACTAGTTCTTTAGTGTTATTAATTAAGGGCTGGAGAGACCTTATAGCAGCCTTCCAATATCTGAAGGGAGCCTACAGGAGAGCTGGAGAGGGACTCTTTGTCAGGAAGTGTAGTGACAGGACAAGGGGTAATGGTTTTAAATTGGAAGAGGGGAGATTTAGATTAGATACCAGAAAGAAATTCTTTACTGTGAGGGTGGTGAGGCACTGGAACAGGTTGCCCAGAGAAGCTGTGGATGCCCCATCCCTGGAAGTGTTTAAGGCCAGCCTGGATGGGGCTTTGAGCAACCTGCTCTAGTGGGAGGTGTTCCTGCCCATGGCAGGGGGGTTGGAACTCGATGATCTTTAAGGTCCCTTCCAACTCTAACCATTCTATGATTAATGTTAATTATTTAGTCTTATTCTATTACATCTGTTTATATCCCAGCCCTTGGGTTTCCTTGGTTTTTCCCAGTTCTCCTTCCCAGGTGGGGAGGGGTCATCAGGTGATAGAATAATTATCTAAATGACAATAAATTGTTGTGGGTTCCTCAAACCATAACAACGGGTCATACTCCTCTATGTTCTCTCAATCTGAATAATGTTATAGGCTAAATTTAGTAAAACCCTTACAAAGAGTCACTACATTCTATTTATGCAGGTTCATATGTATAAAGAAAGAAAGAAAGGAACAGAAGAGACCAGCTGGAATTCCATATCCAAAATGCATCTGCTGGTACGTGGGACTTCTGAAAATATTCAGAGATCATTACTGGTGGTGGCAGCTACTTTGTCTAGGCCAAACCGGGCACCCTACCACACCTCGCTGTAGGGTGGGCAAGGTGCCTGCCCTGCAGCCATCCCCCTTGGCTGCTGGCTCGGCTCTCCTCTCCTTCTGAGGCAGCCTGGCTCCTGCACTGCTCCCTGACAGCCAGCTCAGGAGGAGCTGGGTCTCCATGTCACAAAATGCACACCATGGTGATGTGGCTACTCTGACGCTTCCAGCAGTGCTCAAAGCACTATCAGGACCTGGGGTCCTGGGTGACAATAGGGGGAGAGAGATAACAGGAGTAGGGGACCAGGAGGTGCAGGAGGGAGCGGGGGAAGAGGTGAAGACCAACTTCAGTTAAGAGGCCTGTGTTTGTTTTTGAGATAAGTGGTAGGAAAGTGGAGGAGGCGAGAGGGCATGCGTGTGCTTGGAAAGGCAAACTTCCTCATTAAAAATAATTTGGGAGATCATGTTAAGCAAAACCGAGGCTGCTGTCCAGACTCTCATTTTGTGGTTTTGGGTTGATTTTTGTTGTTGAATTTTTTCCTTTCATCTATCTCATTGACATAATTAACACTTCCTTCACTGACAGTTTGCATGGTGAGTCACAGTTCAGATAAGATAAAGGCTGGAAATAATCTAATCTGCATCATCTTGATGAGCAGCAGCATGGGTTGCTTCCCCCCTTAAGCTTTCTATTGATCTCTCTCAAAAACCAAATGATCTTTGCTGGCCATAGTAAAAAAAAAGGAAGTTAGCAGGGCAATAACCCCAACTGGCTTTAAAACAAAGTTTAATCAATTTACAGATGGGATTGTGACACCTGGACCCTAGGTTTGACCTGAGACTGAGACAAGGTCACTGAAGTGGCAGTGTTGGCATGGGCCCTGGTTAAACTCTGTGCAGGTTTTGCTTTTTCCAGGCCTGTGATGTCTCCCACATTCCTCACTCTTCCCCTTGTCTTTTGGGGGATCTCCTTCAGCATGCAGGTTGCAGTTCCTGCAGAAGCTGCGTAGTGCAGCAGAATGAGAGCACGCTGCTTCTTACACAGCCATCATCAGTGGAGTTACTCAGATAATCTCAATGGAAACGAATGTGTATCCTTGACTTGGAAGACTCTTTCCAATCCTTTATCTCAGAGTCCTCTGGAATTTACTGTAAACCTAGACATGAGGATAAAAATGGTGATCAAACACCTCCATGTATTTCCAAATCACTGGAAAACCCTGCCTCTATAGTCCTCTCAGTCTAGCTGCTTTTTTTTTCATCTTCTGGTTAAGGAATGTAAGTCTGTTTAACTCCAAAGGAAGTAGCTGTTGTTTAGTCTCAAATCTTTGGCTTAGCTGGAGCTGCTGGCAGGTAAGATCAGATCACATTGCTTTTGCATCTTACTGGTGCCTGGTTTCTCTGAGGGTTAGAAAATGCTCGGGCAGCTTAGTCTTCTGGAAGCTATTTTCTCTTGCGCAAATCCAGTCAAACAGTTTTGTTTTCAGTTTGTGAACCACTTACTGAATTTGCTGTTAAACATACAGGAGGAGTCAATGACATTGTTAGAAATGTATAAAATAGTGATGTAGATTAAAGGAGAATAGGTGAGCGTTTTTAAAGTCACTTTCACTGTTGTAGAAAATGATTTATATTCTGGTCTAGTTCCTGATACATTAATGCTAAATCTCTGAGGAGAGACTGCAAGAAAAACCTTGTATCTTGTAAATACAAACTTCTGCACAGAGTCTAGTTTTTCATGCAGAAAGGCGTGTATTTACTGTTACGTTACTGTAAGAGTTGTTGCTAGGAGTGCATCTATGCACATTTGTTTTACTTGCTTCACACCATGTTCTTTTCTCTCTTGTGCAGCTTTGGGACCCACCCTTTAGCAGCCCTTCCTTTTAAAGAAATTCGGATAATGTGTGCATCAACTGTTTGAAAAAACACAAGGCTCCAGTAATAGCTCTCCTAGGGCTAGAGGTGTGGTTGGAAAATAAAATTCATAAGCAGCGGAGAGAAAAAGGATTTTCCTATGTGGGGTGGGGGGCAGAGAAAAGCAGGGAAGGGATCATCTTCAGAGCACCACATCATCAGTATTCTTCCCCAGGGCCCTGAGGAGAGCCCAGTGCCTCTGAAAGAACTTGTCTTTTAACTCTTCAATTGTCTGCTGTTTAATGTAGCTGGCAAAGGAGTTCTCCGGACCATTTATACTGATTTGTAAATAACTTTTGTAGCACTGGGGCCGTTCCAGCAGATAAAAGCAAGTGTTGTGCCAGTTTATATATTACTTTTTTTTTTTTTTTTAAAGCACTTTATTCAATTGAATGACTTGATATGCCAACACTTAATTCCTAGGTACCTGGCCTTGGAATCCCAGATCCAGAATTAGGGGCCTGTGCTTTCCCATCAATGCATGGAGTTTGTCAGATGACTTGAAATAGGGTCTATGTACCCTAGTACTATGTAGAGAGAAAAACTTTCTGGAACTTTTCTGCCAGTAATGTATTTTCATTCAT